TGCTGCCTGAAGATGACGTAAAGTATTAGTCCACACCCGGGGGTTTGGTGGAGACAGCTCAGTCACCTAGTGTGAAACACAGCCTTTGCCTTCCTAGTCCACGTCCCCATGTTGAAATGTAGCTTTTTCTGACTTGGGTTTGAAGGGAAGACCGTATCTTTTAAAGCAGGAGTAACGGCTCAGATGCCTATAGGAAATATGCAAATATATTAATGTATGAAGCATGGGAATAAGAGTAAGTGGTAAGCTAATTTCTAAACCTTCACGGAGACAAAACAAAATACCTCCATAGATGGCCCCAAACTAAAAGCCTACAGTTTGCCACCCTTCCAGAAGAAAAGGCGGTCTGTGGTTACATAGTTAAGGCAAGGTTTTTTCCTCCTTTTTTCTTTTTTTTTTTTTTTTTTTTTGCGGTACGTGGGCCTCTCACTGTTGTAGCCTCTCCCGTTGCGTAGCACAGGCTCCGGACGTGCAGGCTCAGCGGCCATGGCTCACGGGCCCCCGCGGCATGTGAGATCTTCCCAGACCGGGGCACAAACCCGTGTCCCCTGCATCGGCAGGCGGACTCTCAACCACTGCGCCACCAGGGAAGCCCTCTCCTGTTTTCTTGCTTACATTCTTCTGGAGAAAAATAATTAAGCTAAGATAACAGTGATATCTTGGAATTCTAGAAGCTGCCTCACCTACAATGGGAAGCACACAACTGTGAGAATGTGTAAACAAAGGGCCACAATTAGTTGGTAGCAACCAGCAACTCTATACCATCATCTCAAAGCTCCCATTTTATGCTAAATCTTAAGATGTTGATAAAGTAGACAGGAGGGCAGTGTGTAGCAAAGTATTCTAGCTGGTGACAACGTAGTATTGGCACCAGAAGGGGAAGAATGAACAGAACTTTCATAGTGTTATGATTTATAGCACGGACTTGGAAGACGGTCAAAATGCAACAAGGGAAATTGAGGTAAATATAAGAATCTCAAATGGGAGGAATTTAATATGGACAACTGATTATAGAGGTGATAGGCTGAGAAATCAAGCCTATGGTGAGTCACTTCAGCATTTGCAACAGCAGAAAGGCACTACTATCCCTGGGGCTAGAGGGACAAAGACAGGAAGGAGGTAACCTTCCCAAAGCCTGGGATATGGACTGCGCAGCAGAAGCTGGGGTCGTGGTGGACCTGCCTGTGGAAGCCAGGCCCATGGATGAAGTAGCTTTCTGGCCAAAATTGAAAGCACAGAGGAGATGCCTTCTGAAGTTCAGGAAGATAAATATCCCGGCTTTTCACCAAGTCCTGCCTTCTCATCTTCTACCAGTGCATCCCTTTGGCAAATCTACATGGTACCTGGAGGTCAGGAGTGGCTGGGGAATGTACACAGTTCCTTACAGCTCAGGGCACTGCCATTTACTAGCTGGCTGGCCTAAGGAAAGTCACTCAACCTCTCTGAGCCTCAGTTTCCTCATCTGTAAAATGGGATAATGCGTATCCTTGCCTATATCACTTAAATAACAGTGGTCATGACAAGATTAAAATGGCTGCAAAGGAGAGCGGCTGAGTCACACTTAGACTCTGTGAAGATAAAGAAGAGTGGAAATCCTGCAAGGGAACCCATGCCACAACCTTTGCCCTACCTTGTTATTGGTAACCAGACCTCATTGGTTATTCTTCCCCAGACCACATGGGTGATCCGTGGTAATTTGCAGTTTACAAGTCAATTTTATATCATTAACTCATAGGGCTTTCACTGTGGACTAAACAGGACATTGATTACTCTCTGTGCTTTACTGCTGAGGTACAGATGCTCAAAGAGCTTAAGGAATTTATTCAGGTAAACCCAAATAATAAATGATAGAGCTGAGAGGTAAATGGGAACGTCTCACTCCAACCTGGACCTCTGCACTCCACATAGTACTGCCCCTGGACCAAAAACTTTGATCTACCAAATCTCTGCTCCATATTTTAAAACCAGAGTTTAAAAAATAAATAAAGGATTAGAGGAGATGAGAGGAAAGTCTGACATGAGCGAAAATAGTTGAATTACTCAAGTCTCTCCTCTCTCCACCTAATCAACATAGAAAAATGCTGACTCATAGCAGGGAGAAAACCCAGCACATCCAGTCAGCAGGGTCTGCATCTCCAAGCCCTGAGAGTCTAGGCCCTCTGGGCTTGGGGAGTCGCTGCTGTTCTTGTCAATGTCAGACTCACAGGCATGTGTGAATTACTCAATGGTAAACGTGTAACTGCTATTGCTTGAGAGGCCAAAAGTATTGGTGACATAAAAAAAGCTATAATAAGTCAAAAAGAAGGCAAATCAGAGTTACCAGTGTCTCCCCAGGGCAGAGAAGTGAACAGTCTCACTCTCCTATTGTTTGAATTTTTACCACAAATAAGAGTAACTTTTATAAACATCTTAAAATACAGAAATGTTCCTCAAACTTCATTTTGCGAGTGGGGTGAGTACCACTGCCATGGCCTGCTCCGCAGTCCCCAGTTTCCAAGTCAGCTGACAAGATAAAGTGGCTTTCTCTCCCAAAGCACCTCTTAGAAAATAGTGGTGTTGCCTTGGAGAGCCCTCCCTGCTTTGAAGGGACAGGTTAGACCCTGGGCTCACCGTGGAGGTCTGCTCTCCAAGTGGGAAAGTAAGTCCTCACCGGTAACCAGAGCTCTGAGGACTCCAGCCCCTCGCCTGGGCGGAGAGCTGGTCCTAATTCTCTGTGACACCCCTGCAGCTATCTCTTTTACCCCCTGTGAGGCTGAGTGAGACTCTTTACCCAGTCAGCACCTGCCCACCCGGAATTAATCTCCTTCCCCGGTTAAACATGTCTGCATTGGGGAATCAAATTAGCGCAGCCTCTGTGGAAAACAGAACTACCATATGACCCAGCAATTCCATTCCTGGGTGTATATTCAAAAAAAAGCTAAACCCACTAATCTGAGAAGATACATACACCCCAGTGTTCATAGCAGCAGTATTTACAATTGCCAAGACATGGAAGCAAACTAAGTGTCCATCAACAGGTGAACAGACAAGGAAGATGTGGTATATGTATATAATGGAATACTACTCAGCCATAAAAGGAACAAAATAATGCCATTTGCAGCAACATGGATGGACTTGGAGGATATCATGCTAAGTGAAGTAAGTCAGACAGAGAAAGACAAATACTGTACAATATTGCTTATTTGTGGAATCTAAAAAATGCAACAAACTAGTAAACATCACAAAAAAGCAGACTCACAGATATAAAGAACAAACTAGCAGTTACCAGTGGGGGGAGGGGAGGGGGGAGGGGCAGATAGGGAGAGGGGAGTAAGAGGTACAAACTATTATGTATAAAATAAGCTACAAGGATATATTGTACAATATGGGGAATATAGCCAATATTTTATATTAACAACATTATAATACAGGGAATATAGCCAGTATTTTATATTTTTAAAAGTGTGACTAATAACTGATTCATTTTGTTGTGAAGCTGAAACTAACATACCATTGTAAAGCAATTATACTCCAATAAAGATGTTAAAATGAAAAAAAAAATAAAAAAAAAATAAAAGTGTGACTCACTATATTGTATACCTGTAACATATAATATTGTACATCAACTATATTTCAACTAAGTAACTAATTAAAATAAAAATGTCTACTTTGTCTCAAATCCTGAACTGATGAGGGAAGTTAGAATTTAAAAGTATGAAGTGTCTACAACTGGACATTCTTCTTAAATCGCTCTCCGAACTTGCCTTTCAGCATGAATTACCTTTCTTCTACATTTCTACAGCCTTGTGCTTGAACCCTTATTATGGCCCTTATTAAAGTCCATTCTCTATGGTTTATTCGATTCTATGCCCGTCTACATGGGAGTTCCCTGAGAGAAAGCACCGGAACTGGCCCCTCTGTATTTTATCCCTTCTATCCCCTCACCCACCCCAAGCACATGGTACTTTATCTACAGCAGGAGTTCAGAATTTGCTTACAGAATCCGATAGGTACAAGAGGATCCTGAACCCACAGTCCTAGATCTAAGACACCCCAGAACCCTGGTGGGCCCATTACAATTGCTTTCACACAAAGCAACAGCCAGCCAACACCATGATGATTTCAGCTTCCAAGGAAATAACCTATCGAGTATAACCCACTGATTGGATTTCTTAACAGTTAAGCCTGATAATTTTTTTAAAAAGCAGTTGGCCCCCTAAATATTGAATCTATATCCAGTGGAAATCACCTGACCCCTGGACTTCCCTGAATGCTCATGACACAGGAGTAACCAGAGGTTGTAAGTGTATCTTCCGAAGCTCCTCATTTGTATAGGGAGTGTCGCCAATGAGGAGGAGATGTCAGTCCATCAAATGTATCACCCCAACATCAGCTTCCTCTGATAAAGGAAAATGAGGCGCCTTCTTGACTCATGACTTGGTGGTTTTCAGACAACAATGAAGTACATAAGCTGTGCTTCTCCCAAGGGGCAACACCCTGTCACAGGCCAAGGGGCATAAGGGCAGGGTCTCTGGAATGTAGCCCACTTTTCCTCCCTTCCCACACTGCTTAGAAGCTGATCCTGTTTTCAGAGCAATTTCAGGCGTATCCGTGCAGGCTCAGGGCGTGGCCTAGCCCCAGTTTACGCCTAGATTCTGAATATACCAGTCTTGGACTGTACCGATGTGGTTCCCAGTGGCCCTCGGGCTCTCGCAGGACTTTAGGAAGAGGCAAACACTTAGAAGGACCACAGTGGAGACAGGTGAGCTCCCAGCTGCATGTCCTAGGACTCCATACGCAGGAGCAGGCAGGTCTTTCCCACCTGTGCTGGCAGCCAGACCTGAGCCAGACATACACGAGCACCCAGAAGCTCAGAGGTGTCAGGACAGCCCTGCGCTCGCATCAAGCTCTGTGTCCCCCTTAGGTCTGTAATTAACTCCTGGGAGGAATGGGCGTGGTCTGCTTTGTAAGATACGTTGGCATGAAGCATCAGGAAATACATCATATTGTCATAGCTGTAATATTACAGGAATTGCAGCTTTTGAATGCTTCTCCCTGTGGCTGTGGACCTGGAGCCTTTATAAGGTGAGCCATTGCACCCTCCTGTCCAGTCGCAGCTGCGAAGCCGGCCAGCCATGAGGGTCTACTACCTTCTCTTTGTGTTGTTCTTCTTGTTCTTGCTGCCTGTTTCAGGTAAGAGGGGCTGGGAAATGAGAGGGCTGAAAGGATTGAGAATATATAATTCAGAGACAGCCCTCTCCATTCTTCTGGGAATTTTAGACCAAATAGATTTATTGTCTGGGAACTAGCCACAACCAATTTTTTTCTTTCTGACAAAGACCATTAAGAACCTTAAAGTAAGGGTCTCGATCTCTTCTGATTCACTCTGAAGAGAAAAACCAGATCACAAAAGCCACCCCTTCCCGGGAAGGCCGTTATACCTGTTAATGAGACAGGAGGAAAGTGATGTAAAACTTTAATACCAAGAGGAAAAATTGACAGTCGAGAACAGAAGCACAGACTTACCTTTTATTAGCTTAGTGGTTGGTGGTAGAGTCTTTTGGCCTCTAGAGAGTCCCGGGGGACCACCGTGGCCCCGGCCTCCCAGGTGTCAGTTCACGAGGGGGGCTGCCCGTGGTCATGCCACTTTCTCAGCACTCCGGCGGTTTATGACTGAGCTGAACCCATGGACGCGTTGTTCGTTGCTTAGTCCCACCTTCTACTTTACTCCTGATGGTATAGAAAAAGGAAAAAGAAATAAAAGAAAGGCCACAGATCAGTTACGAGAGGAATTCCAAAAGCCTAGGTCTTGCACTTCCTGAAACCTTCCCGTGCTTTCCGTTTCTTCATTGCAGGCAGTGGAAGAATCATAAATATATTACAAAAGTATTATTGCAGAATGAGAGGCGGCCGGTGTGCTCTGTTTGGCTGTCTTCCGAGGGAGATACCCTTAGGCCTTTGTTCCAACAGTGGTCGAAAATGCTGCCGAAGGGAGAGATGAAAAATCCAGAAGCGCGATGAGAATGTCGCCAAGTGTGAAAGTGCTCCCGCGGGGTCTATAGAAGCCAAATCAAATTAAAGATTTTTCACAAAAAAATTAGAAGGTGGATTATTTTTTTTTCTTTTAATTCTGGTTATTGTGCTAGTTGTTACCAAACAGGCAACTTGGGAAGTGCTGGTGACTCACCTTTAATTCAAATAAAGTATTATCTCTAGAGCAAGCCACGAGAGGATCTAAACTGATGTTCCCGGGGTTATCAGAGTTTATTCCTCTTTTGCAAATCTTGCACCCCAGTGACACAGGACTCCTCGTTCTTCCTGAAATATTTTCTTCACTTACTTGTCACCCATTTTGAGTTTCCAGTTCATCTATATGCCATAGCCTCTCCCCATCAAATCTATGTCTAATTTTTTGATGATGGCCATTCTGACTGGTGTGAGGTGATACCTCATTGTGCTTTTGATTTGCATTTCTCTAATGATTAGTGATGTTGAGCATCCTTTCATGTGTTTGTTGGCAATCTGTATGTCTTCTTTGGAGAAATGTCTATTTAGGTCTTCTGCCCATTTTTGGATTGGGTTGTTTTTTTGTTATTGAGCTGCATGAGCTGCTTGTATATTTTGGAGATGAATCCTTTGTCAGTTGCTTCATTTGCAAATAGTTTCTCCCATTCTGAGGGTTGTCTTTTCATCTTGCTTATGATTTCCTTTGCTGTGCAAAAGCTTTTAAGTTTCATTAGGTCCCATTTGTTTATTTTTCTTTTTATTTCCATTTCTCTAGGAGGTGGGTCAAAAAGGATCTTGCTGTGATTTATGTCATAGAGTGTTCTGCCTGTGTTTTCCTCTAAGAGTTTGATAGTTTCTGGCCTTACATTTAGGTCTTTAATCCATTTTGAGTTTATTTTTGTGTGTGGTGTTAGGGAGTGTTCTAATTTCATTCTTTTACATGTAGCTGTCCAGTTTTCCCAGCACCACTTATTGAAGAGGCTGTATTTTCTCCATTATATATTCTTGTCTCCTTTATCAAAGATAAGAGAGTGTGGAGAAAAAGGAACCCTCTTGCACTGTTGGTGGGAATGTGAATTGGTACAGCCACTATGGAGAACAGTATGGAGGTTCCTTAAAAAACTAAAAATAGAACTACCATACGACCCAGCAATCCCACTACTGGGCATATACCCTAGAGAAAACCATAATTCAAAAAGAGACATGTACCACAATGTTCATTGCAGCTCTATTTACAATAGCCAGGACATGGAAGTAACCTAAGTGTCCATTGACAGACGAATGGATAAAGAAGATGTGGCACATATATACAGTGGAGTATTACTCAGCCATAAAAAGAAACAAAATTATTTGTAGTGAGGTGGGTGGACCTAGAGTCTGTCATACAGAGTGAAGTAAGTCAGAAAGAGAAAAACAAATACCATATGCTAACACATATATATGGAATCTAAAAAAAAAATGGTTCTGACGAACCTAGGGGCAGGACAGGAATAATGACGCAGATGTAGAGAATGGACTTGAGGACATGGGGAAGGGGAAGGGGAAGCTGGGATGAAGTGAGAGAATGGCATGGACATATATACACTACCAAACGTGAAATAGATAGCTAGTGGGAAGCAGCCGCATAGCACAGGGAGATCAGCTCGGTGCTTTGTGACCACCTAGAGGGGTGGGATAGGGTGGGAGGCAGACGCAAGAGGGGAGAGATATGGGAACATATGTATACGTATAGCTGATTCACTTTGTTATACAGCAGAAACTAACACAACATGGTAAAGCAATTATACTCCAATAAAGATGTAGGAAAAAAATCTACCTCTGAAACTTCAGTGCATCCCTCAGGGTTTTTCCCAGGTCCCTCTGAACACTTTACACCTCAGAGAAGTGGGAAGCCTGACTCTTCCTCAACCATTCCACTGGTTTTCCTCTCATCCTTGCCTCTGTTCTGGCTGACCTCATGTCTGGCATATAATCTCTCCCCTAGCTTTGTCTCCAAACTTTAAGCCACCTCTCAGGGGCCATCTCAAATTCTACCTCCTTCTGGAAAACACAGCTGATTTCCCAAACAAATACAGCCTTTCCCCTGACTCACCGCAGGGCTCTGACTTAAGTACTCCAGCTGAGTCCTGCTTAATTTTTGCATCGTATACATTTGCATATTTCCAATCTCCATATTTGGTCGAAGGATTTTGAAGGGCAAGGACCTTGTCTTAATCACTTCTGGCCTAAGTGTCTTGACACAAAAGCTGCTCAACAAGTGTTTAGTGAGTTGAAGTACATTCCAAGGCGTTGGAGCCATTGCTCCAACTAAGTATTTAGTGGTCTCTCGAGGCTGATACGGAATGATTCCAGCCAATGGAGTGGGAGGCTCATTGCCTCCGATTCTAGCCCCCAGTCAAGGCACTGGGCTCGTAGGAAGAGGGGAGCGGACACTCAAGGACAAGAGCTTGGACCCCACGATTCATCATTAAAAAAAAAAAAAACAAAAACTGCTGCAGGAACTGCCCTCTTACAGTACACAGCTAAGGAACCAGACAAAATGTGTCAAACCACTGTTTCAGACACTGGACACAAGCAGTGCAGGACGATGACTGAGGAGAGATGAAAACAAGTGAGGTGAAACTTAGGAAGTCTCCGGCCTCTACAGGAGACAGATTTCCAGGCTAAAGCCTAGAGAGGAAGAACCCAAACAGACCAGCAATTCTTCTGAGTCGAAGAGACTGGGATCAAAGTTCAAACAGCACAGGACATCCTCATTTCCAGGACAGAAGACCAGCAAGGGGCATCAGGTTGGGAGTGGGGCTCCTGAGGGTATATGGGAAATCTCTGTACCTTTCATTCAGTTCTAAAACTGCTCTCAAAAATGAAGTCTATTATTTTCAAATAAGGTAAAAACTTTAAACATAATAACAACAACAAAATGCTAGGAAAATTCCTGAGCAGCAAATTTGTTCTGTATTAAAAAAAATTATTCAGGCAGAAAGAAAATGATACCAGATGGAAATCTGGCTCTACATGATGGAATAACGTGTGATGCTAAGACTCTAGACACTGTCTTCAGGAGAGAGATGGTCATTTTGTTAGGGGAACCGCTGACTGAAACTGCCCGCCTTGACCAGGTAGGATAGTAACCACTTGCATGAGTTATCTTACAACAGGAGGTCCTGATAAGGAACACAGAACTAACAAGCTACCACCAGCAGGAAGAATTCGGGAAAGGTCAAAAGGAGAGAGGAGACACCAGTCCATATGTCCTGCCAACCTCCCAGAGTCCTTTGCACTGGAATCCATCTTGGCTGAGTGATGCGCGTGCCACCAGGAAGGACCCTGAGTCAGAGTGATGGGCCGGAGACAACCTGGAAACAAACCTCATTACATAAAACCCAAGACTGCGAGCCCTGCGGTACAGCATTCTGCTGGGTTCCATGACCCTGCTGCTCTCCCCCCGGGCGCCCCTTCCCAATAAAGTCTCCTGCTTTGTCAGCAAGTGTGTCTCTTCGGACAATGCACTTCTGAGTGTTAGACAAGAGCCCACTCTCGGGCCCTGGAAGGGGTCCCCCTGATCCCATGTGACTGAGTGTTCTAAACCTTTTTGATATTTTTTTGACGAAACTTCCCAAATCAAATTGTAATGAAGTTTCTTTGACCTCTAGCTAACTTTGGGATGCTTCAAAGGGCCCCTGAAACATCCCAAAGAGAGATATTAAACTAATTAGGTTCATTTGGTATGTTAAATTAGATAGGAGGTGTTGTCAAATGAGTAATACATCTTTTTAGGTTGTATTATATGCTAAATGTTACTAATATAGATATTCTAGAAATTATATGTGATTCCTAAAAATGTGATATGTTCTGATAAAATGTTATCAGTCATAATTCTAGTTATTATCTTAAAGTGTTATATGTCACGACAGTAATCAAGTTTCTTTGTCAATTGCATTGTAATCAGATTTTAAACGTACCTTCTTGTAACTCTTTTGTCATTGTCTTTAGTTATGGTTTTATTCTGATGCCTTTGCAAAAATGCTTCCTCTTCAAGAGGATTTATAGAAAGGGCTTTGGGATAAATATAAGTTTCTGACTTTCAGACCAGAAAGCTGAACTGGGTAAGAAATTGAAAAATTCTAATGGGAAACCTGATGACTTCATAAATCTGTTAATAAAAAGGATTAGTTACATAGGACTGAGTGAACTGGTGAATATGGTTATAAATTTTATGGTTTCTATCTGAAAAATTACTGGTTTAAATCTGTGTTTTCTAGGTGGAAGGAAAACCTTCCCCTCAAACTAATTATGACTTACAGTAATTTGGTAAATTATACATTTGTAAGCAGAACTGAAACATGTATCTTTTCTCTCTATCTGCTTCCTCCAGACATTGGAAACTCTTAGGTTCCCATCAGCTTTATCAGATAAATTAGGAAGGCCACTCACTAACAGGTACAGAAATCTCAAGGTATTTTGGTGACCTTGAAAAGGGATGAATTCACCTAAATCTGTTAAGCAAAATCTGTGATAAGCCCTTGGCTTGACTTTCCTGGCCTGGAGAGGTCTTTTAAAAGTTCAGCCTGAGACTTCTTATAAAAGATTCAGCAAAAAAAAAAAAAAAAGAGTCTGTATGATCAATTACAGTTATATAAATCATCAGGCCAAGTTTATTGAGATCAGACCTATTCTGCAAACAAACTAGTCTTAATTTCTTTATATTTGGTAAAAAATGAGGGTAATTTTAGAGAGAAAAAGATTATGTTTCAGTGAATATTAAATTCCAGTTTTGTTAATGGAGGTCTGAATTTACAAAGACTCACCTCTCACGTAGTTCCTTGCTGTTATGTTATATTAGTGTAAAGTCTAATTGAATTATTAAAAGGACCCTCTAAGTCTGTTTCTGAAGCTTATCTCAGTAATCCGTCTTTGGATGAAGATCAGATGCCCCACGACCTGCAACCAGGGAATTATGCATACTGGAAAAGACATAATTTAAAGAACTCTCTCCAACCTAGATGGAAGGACCCTTATCAGGTACTCTTACATAGCCCGTGCACAGTGAAACTGAAGGGAATTGACTCTTGCATTAATTTCCACTCACAAAGGGCCCCTGCACTGGACAGGCCTACAGAGGGGATAGCTGACCTCAAAATCACCTTAAAACCATGCTCAAACGGAGGCGAAACTTCACTGACAACAGGATGAGAAGAAGACGACATCAGAAGTAGACAGCTTGCACAAGACCCTGGACCTGACTCGTATGATCATTTATAATGTTTTCTCGACTTCTTGGATGCCTGCATATGAATCAATCAAATGTTTTTCTGTCATAGGCATGATCCTATGCTAGTTTTAAAAATCATTCCAATTGTTGGTTTTGTGGCCAATCGCCTGTGTCTAGTACTTCTGGGTTACCTTGGTGGATTTCTTCATTCCAAGGCTGTCATTGGTTAGCCCTTAGGAAATTTATTTTAAAGAAAAAATTATAGTCCTGTTCAAGCCACTGTTGATATTACTAGGTGGGATCCCCTCACGTAGCCAATTAATAATACCTGCTCTGACCCTGGCCATAAATATAAATTTTTCTCTATTACTCCAGCTCCATCAGAGCAACAAGCAAAATCTCATATCAGTGATTGTGATAGTGTAACTCTAGATATGGGAAGAAGCAGCAAGAGGGAACACTTTCCTGGACCAAAATAGACTACTAAGACAGGTGGTCCAAAGACTTTTGTCTACTAGTAAGGCCTAGTCCAGTAACAGCACACTGAGTAGCCTATCAGCAAAATCTTCACCAGACCTGGGAACGAGCATTCCTAGCACCATGGGATGAAATGCCTCCCAAAGCACGGTCAAAGTTATGACCGTGAGGATGTTCTGTCACCTACAAATTGGCACTTGCCATCTACCTCTACAAGGATTAAACTATGACCTGCTGCAACTGCTGACCTTCAACACCTCCTGAAAGGAGTTCAGGGTGGAGATCAGAAAGGAGGCTCTCTGTGCTCTGGAAAAACTAGTAGAACAGGACTTCAGATAGTTAGATACTGTCAGAAGATTTTTATGAGCCCAAATTCTTGCATCTTCTCATATCTAGAAAAGCACTCAAATGATTAATGTTGACATCCACTTTGGCCATTGAGAGAAATGCAACTGAAAGTCAAAATGGAGTAGCTGCAGTTCAGACATCCAATGCGGTTCAGGCATTATGGATGTGATTTCAGACAAGTTCTTGCTAAGAACTAAGAAGAATACTTAGCAAATACTGCTAAGAACTTGAGTTTTCTGAGCTGTGTCAGACTTGGGATGCCACCAGCCATTCTCAAAACAATGCCTGCTGGCAGCTGGTAGCTGCAGCCTTATGGTTTCAAGGTATCCTCTTGTAACTATTAAATTTTTAGACAATGAAATTGTTTTAGATCAGATATTAATAAAAAAATAAATAAAAGAAGATGTTTGGTGGCCAATAGCTCCTGTTATGTATAAGTTAACACCACATCAGAAGTTCAAACCTACTTAGATAAAAGTAAACAACTGGCTACCCAGCTACAAGTCTCCCCAAGGTGCAAGGTACAGACTGGGTTTCAGGCTTATTCTTCTGATTTCCTCAGGGAATAAGATTTATTTTGTCTATTAAAATTCCAGTTGTCACTCCTCCAACTACTTCTAATTGGGTCTGTTACACCAAAATGGCAGACCAAGGGATTGAGATTTTAATCATACAAGACTCACATCCTGGTGAGCCTTGTAGGGCATGGTCCTGGTTCCCTTTCAAGGAGTATACATAACAACATTTTTGAGTTCTTCGGCAGAAAAGGGACCCCCGCCCAGGTGGAGGATGGTAACTTCAGGCTGAGCCCAACATTTCTGGAGCACCACCCTGTTACCTCGTCACCAACTATCAGAAGACAGTCACACCCTGCAGCCCTCACCCCAAATTTTGCCTTTCTTTTCTGGGCCTGATGATGACCACCCTGTTAGGCTTCCTGTTTGGCCCCTGTCTGTTTCAACTGTTTACCAGGTTAATCTCTGACAGAGTCCAACAGTTTAAGGCTAAATTGTTGCTACTACAAGGGTAAATGCCAGTTTGGGGCACAGAATATGTCGATTAAGATCAGGTGGAGAGAGACTTCAACGCTACTAGGCAGGACTACACTCACTCTCAGAAGGAAATAGTTACAGAAGAAAGACCTCTGCCTCAATTTCCAAGAAGTATCTTGAGTATGAAGTCTCTCAGGGGGAAATTGTTAGGGGAACCACATGCCTCGGGGCCAAGAAACCAAAACATAAAACAGAAGCAATATTGTAACAAATTCAATAAAGACTTTAAAAATGGTCCACATCAAAAAAATCTTAAAAAAAGGAACACATATTAATACTGAATCAGAATGTACCTAGCAACAGAATTTTAAAGTTCTTAAAGAAAAACTTACAGAAATAAGAGGAGAAACAGACAAATTAACAATTACAATTGGGTATTTCAGCACTTTTCTGCTTGTCATGAAAAGAAAAAGCAGACAAAGTATCAGATATAGAAGAGTTGAACAACAGTAGAAAAAGTTTTTTTAAAAGCTGATACTTTGAGAGGATCAACACAATTGTTAGAGCTCTCACTAGGTTCATTAAGGGGGGAAAAAGGGAATTACAAGATGCCTCAGGTGTATGCCCACCCTCCAGGCAAGTAGGAAAATGAGAACAGTTCTGCATCTCAGCATTATGTAAACAAGGAGTTGCCACAGGTGGCAGTGATCTACACCCACATTCATCACCTCCTACAAGGTAAAGCTCTTATTATTTTTTTTTAATTTAAGGTGTACTACCAAAAGCAACTACAGATACAATGCAATCTCTATCCAAATTCCAATGACCATTTGTAGGTCTTTTTTAGAAAAATGTCTATTCATTTCCTTTGCCCATTTTTTAATCAGGTTGTTGTTTTGTTATTGAGTTGTATGAGTTTCTTATACATTTTGTATATTAACACCTTGTTAGACATATGATTTGCAAGTATTTTCTCCCATTCTGTAGGTTGCCTTTTCATTTTGTTAATTGTTTCATTTTGTTGATTGTTTCTTTTGCTGCTCATAGCCAACAGGTTTAGAAAAAGATGCTCAATGTCACTAATCATCAGGGAAATGCAAGTCAAAACCACAATATCACCTCACATCTGTAAGGTTGGCTACTAGCAAAAAAAAAAAAAAAGATGAAAGATATTGGCAAGAATGTGGAGAAAAGGGAACCCTTGTATACTTTTGATAGGAATGTAAATTGATCCAGCCATTATGGAAAGCAGTATGGAGGTTTCCTAAAAAACTAAAAATTGAGCTACCATATGATCCAGCAAAATCCCACTTCTGAGTATATACCCAGAGGAAATAAAATCAGAATCTCAAAGAGATATCTGTACCCTCATCTTCATTGCAGCATTATTCACAATAGCCAAGATATGGAAACAACCTAAATGCCCATTAATAGATGAATGGATAAGGAAAATGTGAATACATATATTGGAGGTAATAATAATATATAATATATTCCAATAAGTGTGGAATATATTATATTCCAATATAATATATTCCAATAAATGTGGAGTATATTATATTCTAATATAATATAATGGAATATTATTCAGCCATAAAAAGAAGAAAATCCTGCCATTTGTGACAACACACAGACGAACCTGGAGGACATTATGCTAAGCGAAATAAATCAAACACAAAAAGAAACAAAAAACATGTTTACTAGGTGAGAAGAAGATGTAGCTTAACTGCTAATTGTAGCTTAACTGCTCCGTGGCATGTGGGATCTTCCTGGACCGGGGCACAAACCTGTGTCCCCTGCATCGGCAGGTGGACTCCCAACCACTGCGCCACCAGGGAAGCCCGGGACACCCCTTCTTGCTTGGAGAACTGAGCCACTTTGCCAGAGAGACACTGCATCAATTTCCTAGTCACAGGTGAAAAGGGTTGAGGACATAGCCTTTATCTTCCCTTTAAAGAATGGGACCATGAGTTACCTTTCAGCCCAGGCATGATGGTAACCATTTTCCACACAGCCTTGTTTTGCTTTGAGCCTGTGAAAACTAACAATTCATTTAGATTTTACCTAAAATCAACCCTTCCCCCAATCCTGTAACTACAGCTCTGGTTTCTGGTGAGACACCGCATATTTCCACTAGTGTGTGACCTCCTTGCTGAAGCAACAGGATCCTGCCTCAATGGACAAAAATGCCCCTTGGCTTTATCTCCAGGATAAACATAGCTGCAAAGGAGTCATCCTTAGACCTTGCCAAGGAAAAGAAGCAGCTGCAGTCATCAAAATTCCTGACAAGGGCCGTGTCCCTGTGTCCCAATAGTGACTACACCAGAAGCTTGGAGGGGAACTCCTCTGAAACTCCCTACGGCACCCTGTCCAGCCGTCTTTTTCACTCCCCTTCAGAGACTTCCTGCTGTGGAAAGCCATGCCCGGTTTTGCACATAAGACAACATCATCAGCTTCCTTTAAAAAAAAAAATCTCTGCTGTGCTGCAAACCATAGATCTTTAAAACACAGCATTTTAAAAGAAGAAGGTAGACCACGATTCAGTTTTACTTCTTTTTCCAGTGCTGTATTATAGCACTTATCCAATTGACCCTGTAGTAGAGATTTTGTTTGCAAAATCTATAAATAGATACATATATTATTTATAGATAATTATGCATAAGTAGATGTCCATCTCTCTCAAACATCATTTAGAGCTAAAGCAGAAGGACTCACGATTAATACAACCTATTTTCCCTCAGAAAAACCCTACCCCCCGGGGGCCAGGCACGGGGCTCTGTCCACTCCCGGCGGCCTCCATTGGCTTTGCTGAGCCTCAGAGGCTCTGAGCCACAGCGGGAGACCTCGAACAGACCTGAAGCTCCAGGGGCTCCTTCAGGACTGGGTCCCCCAGGGGGCATAAAGGACTTGCAGTTCCACTCCGAGCTTCACCACAAGATCCAAGTGGCAAGTTTGATCACGAGCTTTGGCATTTCTGAAAAGCAGACAGGCCACAGGCTCTCAAATACTAAAGTCACTTAGTGACAGATGTCGCCCTGAGTAACCCAGTTGAGGGATCTCCACGGCTGTCCCTGCTTCATGATATTAGACCGAGGAGATGCGTCCAGTGACAGCATCATCCTTCCAATCTTTCCCTGTTGAACGGAAACGGAGCGCGCATCTGCGCCACCACCTGTCCCATTGAGATGATGACACATTTTGGGAGACTTTCACATGAATGTTGCCTAGGTGGGGGTCTCTCTTCCCTCAGTGTCCCAAAGCTCTCCTTGGGCCTGGAAAAATGTGGCTATCTCTAGGGACGCTGGGTTTCAGCAAGCCCTGTTTCATGCCCACGGACTGAAATTGCCTTGGGATGGACTAGTTCCTGGTTTGGCATGAAACAATCCCAGACTCTCAGGAAAAAACAAAGTGGGCAGATTCAAAGATCCCAGGGGCAAGCAAATGAGCGGCAAGATGTCTGTTCCCCAGGGGAGACAGGCCCCGCCCCTCAGCCCACCCCCCACCCTTCAGCGGAACTCAGTGCAGGAAGAAGTTTCTGGTCCCAAGGGCAGCAGAAAAGGTTTTCCTGGGGTTTCCCATGGCCTGATTAGCATAAGGGTGACTGACTCTGCTTTGTGTTCTAAAGGCCCTTCCCATGAGACACAGGGCAGAGGTTCTGTAATTACCAAATCTGTAGCAATACTGAATTCTCCGGGTAACCTGGAACCTTGAAAAAGGGCAAAGCCCAGCCTCCTCTCCAGTGTCAGCTGCTGTAAAGCTCCCCAGATGCCAGCATGAGGCTCCATTACCTCCTGCGTGTTCCTGTTGCCTGTGTCAGGTAAGCTGGGCCCCGGAAGCCGGAGGGATGAGCAGGTGGAAAGGATAGGATAGTCACTCTCTTCTGTCTCTCCCTCTCTCTGTCCCTCATCCCTGTCTCCACACGATCAGACTAAATAAACTGTATGGATTGCTCACGAGAACCCAGCACTGTGTCCTTTGGTGTTGAAGGAGTCTGAGAACCTTCCTGCACAATTCCCAGCCGCTTCTGAGCCATTATGTGTGAGTCACCAGCTCCTAAGTCCATCTCCTCACTGTTTTTCATGTGGAGGAAACAGAGGAAGCCTCTGTTAGGCGACTCTTCTTTTTCAATAAAGGCAAAAAATTTGATTTCGTCCAAGGACAGAAGTGCAGAATGTTGCTTTATAAATCTTTATAATTGGGACTTCCCTGGCAGTCCAGTGGTAAAGACTTCGCCTTCCAATGCTGGGGGTACGGGTTCAATCCCTGGTCAGGGAGCTAAGATTCCACATGACTCGGGGGCAAAAAGCCAAAACATAAAATGGGAGCAACGTTGTAACAAATTCAATAAAGACTTTGAAAATGGTCCACATCAAAAAAAAAGAAAAAAGGTTTCCATTAAAAAAAATAATAAATTAATTAATAAATAAATCTTTATATTTAAAGGGTAGAGTCTCTGGGTAACCAGAGAATCCCAGAGGGTAGTAAGGCTCAGCCTGGACTTGGAGAACTGCCGTTTGGAGCACTCCGTGCTTTGCCTTCTCAGCGGGAAGGTCCTCCAGGACATGCCCCTGAAAGCGCTACCTTCGGTTCATGGTTTTTTTTTTTTTTTTTTTTTGGGGTCCGGGGGGCTCTCCCCGTTGTGGCCTCTCCTGTTGCGGAGCACAGGCTCCGGACGCGCATTCGCTCTCGGCGAGACGGCTTCATGCAGCCTCAGAATCTTTCTCAACACAGCACTCCCGAAACATTCAGTCATCAAGGCCAAACTAGACTAGACTTCCTGAACTGGAAGGGCTGTAATGTATCTTCCAGCTCTGACATTCTAGTAAATTGGTATCTCCCAAGCAGAGAGGAATTCTCAAACCATGAGGAAAAAGAAACTAATAGTGTTAACAATGACAAATAGAAATACCTTCATTTCAGATACTAAGTGTACAATGGGCCAGGCACTCAGATAGGCAGCAAGAATGGAAAAGAGATGGCTGTGGACCAGGAAAGGTCTAACCTTGAGCTGAGTACTATATTGCTCTGATGCCTAAGCCTGTGCTGTCTTATATACAGTAGACACTAGCCATGGGTGGTTATGTAACTTTTCATTTTAATTAATTAAAAGTAAATAGAATTTAAAATTCAGATCCTCAGTCACACCCGCCACATTTTGAGTGCTTGATAACCACATGTGGCCAATAGCTGCCATATTGGTCATCACAGATGTAGAACATGTCCATCATCACAGAAAGTCCTACGGGGCAGCATTGCCCATGGGTCTCAGCAGTTCTCTCCCAATGAGACAAAATAGTGAGGCAGAGTTACACAAGGTAAAGAAAATGGAAACTAAGTGCTGTTTTAGTGCCTGCATAGTTGCCTTCAATGTTTATGCTTAAGCAGCATTTTATAAATTATCTTACTTTTGCCAATTGGAGAGGAGCTTCCTAGAATAAACGTGGTTTTTTTTTTTTTTTTTTTTTTTTTTTTTTTGCGGTACGCGGGCCTCTCACTGCTGTGGCCTCTCCTGTTGCGGAGCACAGGCTCCGGGTGCGCAGGCTCAGCGGCCACGGCTCGCGGGCCCAGCCGCTCCGCGGCATGTGGGATCTTCCCGGACTGGGGCACGAACCCGTATCCCCTGCATTTGCAGGTGGACTCTCAACCACTGCACCACCAGAGAAGCCCCAGAATAAATGTTTTGATTCTCAGTGCTAAATCACTCTGATGTGGCTTTTTGGTGTTGTTTTGGTTACGATATTTATTTCTTAAACTCGTCAGCCTTATGTTACTACTTACAAATTATATGCTGAGAGCATAAAGGGTATAGCACCAAAGATCCCAGATTGGTTCAGTGAGGCCAGACTTTTAATGGGCAATAGCCAGTATTGTTGAATATTGTACACATTTTTATATTTATTTCTTAACACAAAAGCCCAGGGTGTACCTGCCAACTTCCCCTCCCTCAGAGGGTCCCTGGGCTCAGTGTCATGTGAAAGGCTCTCCTTTCAAGACTGCACTTTGGGATTTACTGGGTGGAGATCAAACCAGAGGCTGAGGGGCAGAGCATGCCGTCTGTGCCCTGTGGTTTCACGCGTTCCACAAAGATTCCTGCCCCAAAATGCAGGAAGGAGTAAAATCATTCCATTGGAATTTTATTCCTATCACCCAGGTCTTCATTGTCTGTAGGGTTACATTAAGTTTTCTTAATCTCTTCCTTAGCCACACACACAAAATTTAGGTGATAGCTTGAAAGAGATCCTATAAATCATATTTTCAAACATTAATGTTCTTAAAACCCTTCGACAGTTTTCCTTGGCCCAGGAATTCAACCAAAACTTTATTTTATCTGTTTCCCAACATTCAAGCTTTTCCTTGACTTTCCAAGTCCTTATTCTACTTCTTCTAATTTGAACATTTCATTTTTGTTCCCAGTTCTGAGTTCTTGTTCCTTTTCCTCCTTTTAATCCCATGGCTGTAGCTGTAACTCAGTCTCATGCCTCCTGTATCTGACATCCCTTTTATTCTTAACCTTTATTCTTTAGCTTAATTTATTATCATACAACCTTTATCTGGTTTTAAGTGTGATTTGGTTGTACTGTTTATTAGACTTTTATCATATTCTTTAGTGGAATTTCAATTTTTAATTTTTTCTTAACTTTTAAGTGTTATCCTAAAAGGTCTGTCAGTGTTTTATTGCCATAACATTTCTAAGTGTCTTATTATGACTCTTGCAAGGGAGGAACACTCTTCTGATTTCAGTAGCAAGAAGAGGGTGGCTTTTCCATGTGAATCATGAATTAATGGGCTCACGCTCTGGTCCAAGGCAAACCTTTCCACCTGGGTCCTGCATCTCGTTTCCCTTGCTTACTCGTGGGCGAGACCCAAACCAGCTCTACCCCTTGTCCCCTTCTACTGAATCTATAAAAACTAAAAGCAACCGAACAGCGGGCTTCCCTGGTGGCGCAGTGGTTGAGAGTCCGCCTGCCGATGCAGGGGACGCGGGTTCGTGCCCCGGTCCGGGAAGATCCCACATGCCGCGGAGCGGCTGAGCCCGTAAGCCATGGCCGCTGAGCCTGCGCGTCCGGAGCCTGCGCTCCCCAGCGAGAGAGGCCGCAGCGGTGAGAGGCCCGCGTATCGCAAAAAAAAAAAAAAAAGCCAACCAAACACCTCTTCCTTGACACTACAGCATTCAGCAGCTCGATCTTGTTTGTGCTTAGTTTTTCAGCAAAACACTTTAGGAGGCGTGTCTGCAGACCCCACTTCCTCTCAGACCCTCTCAGGGGGTTTCAGAACACTCCACCACTCCACCAAGATGACTCCAGTCAACAGGGGATCATAATACATCCTTTATGACCTCACTCCGCCCTTCCTCTGCCCACTGTTGATCTGACCCCTAATTATGTGGCAACGGACAGGTGCTCGCAGGTGTCCCTGCCTGAATGGGCAGGCAGCAGACAGCCTGAGGAGGCTGAAGAAGCCAATTGCAAGGTAGGTTTTCAGGAGAGAAACATCCGTGGTTGAAGAAGGGGTGGGAATACATGCATATTTAGGGAGTCAATAAAAAGGATAGCTTTCGGTATAAAAGTATAGGAGATGGAAATGTGGACACAAGCTTTTAGTCTATACTTTCTTTTCTATTATTTATTATTAATTATTATAAAAGTAGTACTGGTGCTGGGGCCAAGGAAGTAAGACCCTCACAGCTAGTCTGTAGAATTAAGTCTGACTTACGTAAGCAGATTACCATTTATTCATTCACCCATAAATTGATTCTTCCATACTAGGACCTATTCACATAAACAAATATTTGACTACCTGTTCTCTGTCAGGCACTGTTCAAGGTGCTGAGAATGTGAGATAATAAAACAGGACTTGTTACTTTAGAAATTTACATACAGTGAAAAAGAGAGCTATAAACACTATAAAGCAAAACTGAGATGACGAGAAGGAAGAGATGGAGAGAAATGTCAATGGTTTACCTTGTATACTTCTGTGTTTTAACTCAAGAATACATTGACGTAATGCCTCCAGCCCTTAAAGCCTCACCTGGTGGTGGTCTGTACAAGACCTTGGCATGGTAAGCTTGCTTATGATGGATCAATTCTCCCCTTAAAATGGTAGCAAAACATTTTTGAGAGTAAAAATGGAGAGATCATTTCAACTTCCAAAATTCCTTTCCTTTTTAAATTCTAAAACGTGTGAGGGGGTGGTGTTTATTCTGAAAGGAGAAACGGACAGGAGCAGAGACATGCAGTAAAGGTGAATGCATGAATGATTTGCTAAAAGAGTTCAGTTTTTATTGATTTTTCTCAAAAAACCCCACCAAACTTCAGAGCCATAAGCAGAAGTGAGAATCAATGCAGAAACACTGAACGTCCTCAGGTTATGCTCAGGCCCTAACCGAACGTCTTTAGTAGGAATATAAGCCTTTTCTCTCTAGCTGAATTTTTCAAATTCTTTCCCAGATCACCTGCCCCCATTGACACTGCCAGTTCCACCTGGAATCCTGAAAATTCCTTTCCCATCATGAGGCTACTATACCTTCTCTTTCTCTTACTTGTATGTCTTATCCAGACAACATCAGGTAAGCTGTGGATCCAACTGGTGGGATGATATATGGTGGATGACCTCGGAGCCTGGAGTAGGGAAGGTCAAGTTGATTCATCATCCAGGAATGCGCTGGTCTATGTAGCAACTGGACAATATCGTATCTGAAAGAAGCATAGCATAGACAACATGCTCCACTTTACAGATAAGGGAAGAGAAGCTTAAAGAAATGCAAAATATTCTCCCGTGATTGCCCTTAATTAGTTGGTAGCAAACCAACTACCAATGATATAAATGCTATTATAAATGTAATTAAAAGTAGTCATGGTGATAGACAACAGTCTCAGGGGACTTTACAGCTTACAAATCATTTCCACGTGAATAACTAATAGCAAATACTATTGACCACTTCCTCTTTATCAACACAAAACTTTTCATGTGTTGTCCCAAATGTATTCCTCATAACCATATTTATGGGGTAAGTATTTTTAGCCCCATTCTACCGATGAGATTAAGAAATGAAGTAACTTGTTCAAAGTCGTGCAGGTTGTATGTAAGGAAGACTTTAACTCAAGCCCAAGTGGGTTTGATTCCAAAGCCCATGTTTTTATTAAATATTCAACAATCCCAGAAAACAGATTTACTTACTGGATTATATATAAACAACAACTGTTTTTAGCTTGAGTATGATCCATGCAGCACGTGGGTCATACTTAGACTAAAAGATTAATTGTTGTTCATCTGAAATTCAAATTAAACTGAGTGTCCTGCGTTTTACCTGGCAAACCTACGCATATGTCAGCACGTGCCAGGCTATGCTGTGGTGACAGCAGCCTCCAAATCTTAGCATCTTGAAAGAGCAGAAGTTTAATTCTCGCTCAAATGATACCAACCCGTGACGGCCACGGGGTGCTCTACTCACCGTAGCCGCTCCGACCCTCCTGACGGAGCAGCTCCCATCATGAAGGCTGCTGGTCTCTGTGTCAAAGGAAAGAGCTCTGAGGACTCTCATGATGGCAGTTAAGGGCTCCAGCCCTGTAGGGAAACATCAGTTCTGTTCAAAATTCATTAACCAAGCAAGTCCTAGACCCCCTTAATCACATAAAAGGTGAATCCCACTTTCTGCCAAGAAAAGAGAGACTCAGCCCTGTTTGGTGAATAGCGTAATGAAGCTAAACAACAGACAGATATAGATGTGGATGTGTGTGTGCATATGGATTTAAATATAGATATAGATGAAGATGGAGATGTCGGTATTGACATACATGATATATTCATATTTATATAATATGAATAATAAGGTTAAATATATGGATATAACATATTCATTCATATTTACAATATGAATATAAATCTATAGGAATTACATTTATAATAGCATTTATATCATTATTTTTACCTTGCCTTCTTAAGAAAAATTAGGAGAATCTGCAGCTCCTAAAAGAAAAGTCTCGTTATTTGTGGTGAAGCAGGACTCAGAGGCCAGGTCTCCCAGTTCCTGGTTGCGTACGCTTTTCCCATCACAACATAGTTCCCCTAAAAGCTATAACCTCGGATGGAAACTCTTCTTATTCATTGTTTCCTCATGACTCTCTGTCGTTTGCTCTCTTGACTTAAGACACTATTTAGGTTCTCTCTCCTCTCGCCCTGCTTTCTGCTCACTACATGCCACGGCTGTGACATTTACAATATCCGTGCAGCCCTCATTGCAGCGACATAGGAGGCACAGTATTTAGGAGTGAGAATTCTCACCACAACACTTATTGTCTAATTTGTGCTCTGTGCTTGTAAGATTTTGCCCTTTTGGGAAAGAGGAAGGCCCTTGAGGAAACTTTTATGAAGGACATGTGAAATGAAGTATGTCCCTAATTTGTGGCCCAATTAAGTTACTTGCTTTCTCTGACCTAACGTTTCTTCATCTAAAGAGGAAAGACACTATACCACAGAGGTCAATACGTTTTTTCTGTAAAGGGCGGGGCAGGTAATACATATCTTAGGCTCGGTGGACTATGAGGTCTCTGTCATGAGGATTCATCTCTGTTGCAGAGTGAAAGTGACCACAGACACATAAGACCTCAGAACGGTCTTATGGCCCCTTCTGAGATTTTTTCCACAATTAAAGAAAAAGTAAAAAACACTCTAAGCTTGTAAGTCACACCAAAACAAGGAGAGGGCCAGTTGTGTCCCTGTGGACTGCAGTTTGGAGTTCCTTGCTATATAAGATGAATTTTGGTAGCTTTGGTTAAACATGCCTTTATTTCTTTGTTTTGTTTTGTTTTGTTTTTTCACCTCCACTTCCTTTTCAGGGAATGAAAAAAAGATGAAAAACACTGAATGTGGAAAAATGGGTGGTGTCTGCAAACATCAAACAACCCACGGGTGCATCATCCTGCCTGCAGAATGCAGAAGTCGGAAGAAACACTGCTGCAGAGCCTAGTTTCAGCACCCAAGCATCCCCAGAGCAGCACGGGACACTCACCGCCACTGATTTCTGCTTAATAAAAGCATCACCACTCACATGGACCCCGCGTGGGTGTTTCTGTGGGCACGGGAGGTCCTGAATCGGATGGGAGAGATGTAAGTTCTAAGTCTGGTCACACCACTCATTAGCTGATTAACATTAGACAGGCCTTTCCTTTTCTAGGTCTCAGTCTCTGCACCTGTAACTACTGAAATGGATGTTCTCCAAGCCACCTATAACCTGTTAATATATGTCTATAAATGTATGGATTGGGGATAGGAGCTTTGAGTGTGTGTGTGTGTGTGTGTGTGTGTGCGTGTGTGTGTGTGTGTGTATTATAGTATGAAAAGTCACTGAGGCTTTGTTCTCACTTTGTTCTCATTTTCATACCCTTAATGACTCTTGGGTATCAAGCAATGGCTCCCAATTGATTACTGAAGAGCCAGGACATAAGTTGATCTGAAGGGCTTGAAGGTGCCGAAAGATTTAAGCTGGTACTTAGGCATCAACCCGTAGAACTGGAACTCAGACAACAGAGACCAACCCACTGTTTTTTCAGAAAACCAAGATTTAGTGAGGTAACGGCTCTTTTCTTCTCTCCAAAGGTGCCTTTCCAAATAGTGAGATTCCTTTAGAACCATTTTCTTAGAACACAAGGGATTGTCTTCAGAACAGATAAGACTTGAGTTGTATAGCAGAAGTCTGCTGATTAGGCTGGGAAATTCAATCTTCAGCAATAATTTAGTATCTCCTGTTCTGAAACAGTCAGGATACAATTTCTTGGTCATCTTTTTTCTTATCAACCTTTTTTTTTTTGGAAACAAATCCAACTCTTATACACTGCCGCTGGGGATGCAAAATGCTAAGGCTCCTTTGGAAAATCGTTCGGCTATCTCTTGTAAAGTTAAGCGTGTGCTTACCATATGACTTGAGGGAAGAAAAATGTATGTTCCTGTCAAAAACCTGTATGCGCATGTGTTTAGCAGCTTAATTTATAATTGCCCCAAATGGTAAACACAGAGGTCCTTCAACGAGTGGATTAATTTTGATACATCAGACCACAGAATATTATGTAGCCAGAAAGAAATGATTGACTCATGAATATCACAGAGGGATCTTAAAGGCCTTCTGCTGAGCTAAAGAAGCCAGATGGAAAGGCTACAGATTGTTTGATTCCTTTTACATGACCCCCTTGAAGAGCAAATCTGTAGAGTTAGAAGCCAGACCAGTGGCTGCTCAGGGTTAGGGGGTCCCAGGAGGGGTGGTCTGTGAAGAGTAACCTGTAGAGAAGTATGGTAGTGCGTACACAGCTCTCTGCATTTGCAAATACCTTAGAACTCTACACCACAAAATTTGAATTTGACTATATGTAAATCAAAAAAAAAAAAAGAATCAACTCGATGTGGACAGAAAAACAGAATGCAGACCGTGACAAACATACTTATAACCCTGGTCTAATCGTGAGAAAAATATCAAACACA